CACCAGCTCGGGACGGCTGACGGGGAACTGGCTCGAGATGCCAAACCCCTGGTGCCTCTCCCAGCTGGGACATCACATCACGGCCCTTTTTGGACCGTAAACTGAAACAAGAACTATTTTTTACTCTATTTTTACACACGACCCAGCACCCAGGTCCTCCTGCAGCGCGATGAACTAACGGCAGCGCCCTTACTCCGCTCATCTCAGATTTTATTCGGCATTTTTATAACCAAGATTCTTTTCAAAAAACAAAAGGGAATCTGCAAGTTAAAAAAAAAACCCCTCAGGCCCCAAGTTTGAATATTCTTCTACGCCAAGACCACGCTCCTCGAGTGGCTTTAATCGCCCATCCCCAGCCCTGAATCAGCTCTGCGCCCTGACCATTGCTTCCAGTCCGTCTTTGATCTCCGGAAAAATACGTTCCCACCGCACTCAGGGGGGAGCTGCGGAAAAGGGCAGAATTGAGTCTACGAGATATTAAGAAAAAAAAAAAAATCTGATTTACTCACGGGCAGGGGACAGAGTTTTCCATTGACCTTGACAAATAAATTAGGAGGGAAGTAATCTTCCTGGGGACAGCTGGTTTCACACAAGCAAAACCTGAGAAGCAGGAGGGAGAAACTGGTGAGTGAGTGGCGACACGTGCGGAAAACAGGAGCCAGACTTCACTGAAAAAAAAGGGAAACAACCATTTCCTAAGCAGAACAGATCGACGGCTGGAAAACGCAGCAGCAGACCAACAGCCCCACGTGTGTTTCAAACCCCACGAGAAACAAGACAGAAAAATGCGTGCGGGGGCACGGCCGGCTTTATTCAGCCCAGAGGATGATTCAGGCCATCCAGGATCGCGGTTCCGAAGGCAAAATGTGTTCCTCCGGTCCAGTATCACTCTAAAAACCGCCCCGGATGGCACTGGGGGTTGTAGCGGGGTGCACGGCCAGCCCGGGGGGTTTGGGACGAAGGGGACTGTCACCCCGAGGGAACTCCCACACCGGCAGCATCGTCCCGGACGGTTTAACCCAGCTCTGGGCGCGTTCAGGTGCAATTTCACCGACAGATCCTGCAGAGCTTCGACGCGAGCTGCTACATCTGAGTCGCCCAACACAAGCACCTGAGGAACTACAAAATTTTATTCGACCCAAAGCGGATCATGCAACAGGACAGCGACCGCCTGGACTCCCCCAAAGCACGCCGTTCCCTCTCCCATCACATAATTATTTTAGGTTGGAAAAGATCTCAAAGATCATCGAGTCCGACCGTCAGCACCACCAACTCGGGCCGGGCTCTGCTCCAAACCCCGTTTAATCCACCGGCCACGGATTTTTTTCTCCCAAAGGAGGGTTCTCCGCCGGAGACGACTCCCCACGCCGAAATCACAGCCCTGAGCCCGACCGCGGCCTCGGCCGGTTTTTTCTGAGCCGCGAGATCAAACCCTGGCACGTCCCGGCAACGCAGAGCCACACCAGCCACGTCCTCCAAAAATAAACCTGAATTCTTGGGTTTAACCTGCTTGCCAAATAAAATAAAGAATAAAATGGAAAGTTAATCTTTTTCTTGCTTGGGAACGGGAGAACACCGCGTACAAGAGAGAAAAGAAACGGTCCCACGGAGGGTTCACCTCTGCGGGTGAGGGGACGCACTCCGGACACCCCAGGAGGTTTCCTGGTGGCTATTTGGTAAAAATTTGGTTCAGGCACAGACACAGAAACGGGTCTTTCAGCCCCACCCGTGGATTTTCTGCGCCGAAGCCGAGGCGTTTCCCAGCATCCGCCTCCCGACGCGTTTCAGGGAACAGGGCGCCCGGACGCTGCGCTCCACCAGCTCCGCGCTCGGGAGCCGAACAGACGGACGCGGCCGAAAACTACGACTGCAAAGCCCCACATCAGAGAGACGTTAAAATCCCGATTACACTGAAAACCACCACGCTCTTTGGAACAAAATCAAAGTCTTCAATTCCAACCACTTGCCTTTAGGCTCCCAGAGACCACAACCAAAGCCCTAACCCCTCAGCGCTGGTTTTTTCTGAGCGTATAGCAGTGATTCTCCGTCTTTTGGCCAAGTTCAAACCCCTGATAATCAAATTTAACATTTTTTAAACCCTGCCAAGGGTTCAGCGTTGGGCAAGAGCCTCCCCGGTTCCTGTTCCGTGCCGCAGGACAGCGGGTGTGCGCTTAAATTATAATTTTAATTAGAAATTATAATAACTTGTAATTAAATATGAGCGATAGCTGGCAAATATTTAAAAATCTTCAAATTTTAATGTAGCGCAGTTTTTTTCCTCTTATTCCGCCTTTTGCAATGAATCTGCAAAAAGGCAAATGACTGAAAGGGAGAAGAGCAAGAAGCGTGTGCTACAGGGGTGCGCAAAAACGGAAAAAGATCGGATTTTACTGTGCTTGAAAGGGAAAAAACTTGTGAGGCCACGTCCCCTGTGCCAGCAAAGTGTCACCCAGAGACAACTCACGGAGCCCCGGCAAGTGCAGCAAGAGCCTCGAGGTTTGGTGCGGCACAGGAGGGTTTATCAGAGGCTCACTCCTGGACCCAAACCCTCGCTCCCCCGGACCCAAACCCTCGCTCCCCCGGACCCAAACCCTCGCTCAGAACACAGCACCAAACACTTAAAATTTCCTCTGAGCAAATCAAGTCGCAATTTCAAACCAAATCCAGCGTGATCCAGCAAAACGAAGGACAAATTAATAGTTAATTAATAGTAATTAATAATAATTCATCAAACAGTCATCACCTTACCTTAATTGCACCTGCGTAGTGTAATCACATTTAGCACCCGGTAAGATGTCTCTGCAACAGAAAAAAAAAAAAAAGTCTTAAAGCCACCAGCAGAGAATTACACCTGACATTTTATTAAGTTACACCGACAGCGATACGTGTGAGCGATATCAGGAATAAAACCAGCGCAGCCGAGTCGGAAAACAAGGGGATTCCTGTCCGAGCGAGCGGGCAGAACTCCCAAACGCGGCCGGAACGAAAATCCCATCCAACAGGAGAGAAAATGGGGAGAAAAGGAGAAAATCAACCTCGAAGATTCTTGCTAGTCCTGAGTTTTAAGGCTACAGACTCGCCGATGCAAACAAACGATCGGGTTTGCAGGCACAGGTGGAGGGCAGTCCTGAATTCGGGGTGAATTGCCCCATTTTTATCCCAACTGCCAGATTTTCTTTCTTCCATTCAATAATTCCCCTCCGCAGGTTTTCAGGCAGGTCCCTGCTGGCTGTGAGCAGCGGCACCCTCAACATCAAGAAACTTCGCTTTTCACACCCAACTCGGTGTTTTATTCTCCCGCACCGGAGCAGAAAAATGTGAAATGTCCGATTCCGACCATCCCCGACCTCCTCATGCTCGCTCATCCCAACTCTGCCCATTTTTCTCCTGCCTCCACTCTCCGTTCTGACGGGAAGAACCTGCGGCCGCAGCGGGGAAGCCGCACGTTTCCCGACGCCGTTCCGCTTCCCGAGAGACGCCGTTCCGCTTACCGGGAGGCGAGGATCTGCTGGACTTGCTGGGGGGTTAAAGCGAAGGTGAAATGAGCTTCTTCAAACCGCTGGCTGGTCGTGGAGGCTGAAGAAGAGAATTTAAGACAAATTAAATCGTTATTCTTACACTTGCAGGCGCCGAGGCTTGTCATAAACACCAGGCAGCACCTGCTTAAAAACAGAAGGGAAAATTAATTCCGGTTCCTACGAGGGGGCCCTTGACCACGTAACGAAGCGTTGGGTCTGTCCGTCAAGGTAGATGTTGATTTTCTGTCGTTTTATTTACAAGGAAAACCGAGGCTTGGGAAGGCAGGTGGCTTGCAGGAATGGGGAAAACCGCCCGCGTGCCCTCCGGGGTCTGCGACAGCCTCCCGAGCCCCCGAAGAGCCTGATCCCTGGGATGAGGTTGGGAAGAGCGAGATGAAACGCAGAGCTCAGGGAATGCCAGAGATCACCCGCCGCCCCAGAAATTACCCTAATTATTGTGGTTATGGAATAACCGCAGCTGCTGAGCAATAACTGGCGTTGCCGTTTTCTCCTTGGGCACGCGGACAGAGTCGGGGGGAATTTAGAGACAACCAGCCCTCGATTAAAAATAAAATCGCACAGAAAAACCCACATAGCGGGGGAATCAAGGATTTTACGCGAGGGCTAGAGCGCGGTGGAAATGTTTGGTGCAGGACATGTGTAAAAATAAACATTTCCCCCTCTCTTACTCTGACCTGAACCAAGTTATTTCCTTGCACCCGAGCAAAAGTTTGGTGATGGTTTTTTTTGGTGACCGTCCAAGGCAGCTGCAGACCTGCTCCATCCTCGGTGCCACTTGCACCAGGGGCTGGTCTCCCCCAAAAAAGAGAATTTGAGCGGAGATTCCTCGGTGGGGCGAGGGGTTTTGCTCCTCCAGCCTCCTGCAGCGCAGGAACGCCAGGAATGCGGGGCCCCGGGTTTTCCTGGCAGCTGACCTGCGGGATCGCGGTGGGGACGGGCTGGCAGAGCGGACCCGGAGAAATCCAGAGGATTTGTGACCATCTTGGCATTTTCCGCTCGAGCCCTTCGTGCCTCGATGACAAAATCGGATCCCGATGCTGGTCCAAAGGGGTAAAACCGCTCAAAATTTGCGGCTTTCCCATTCTGCCAATATATGGCTTATTTCTGGCATTTTTCTGACCCCACGACCTCCCCATCTGGATACAGATAAGAAATTGCTCCACGTAACGAAAATAAAAGAATGGAAAGGGGACGGTTACACCGCTAAAGGGTGGAGAATGATGCAAACCACCAAAAGCCAAAAATAAAAAAGCCTGTAATCCCCTAGGAATTGAATAAAAACATCTTTCCAGTTCAAGCAGCGACACGTAAGTTTTATCAAGAGAGAAAAAAAGACATAATTTCTTTCGCAAGGCAGGGAAGAGGCTTAACCACAGGTTGTCCGAGAGATGGAATAAAGCCAAACCTAAGAAAAGGCAATTTTTAGCAAAACGCCCCCAAAAAAGCGCGTGGGTTTTGGTGGGAGCACAGCCGTCCTGATCTCCGCTTTAGCAACCACCACTGTGTTTACAGGAAAGAAAAACAACCCCGACTCCAGCGAAAACAATTTAAAAGGCACCAGATGGGTGGAGCTCGTCTGGAGAGGCCAGAAGGGCTCGACCTAAAGGAAAAATACAACTTAGAACTGACTCTGAAAACCCTGAATAAAACCTCCCGTCCCCACGGGCTCAAACCGCCGCGAGTGCCGCGGCGCTTCCCAAACCACCGGCAACGACCGGGCTCGCTCCGTGCCGCCCGTCTGCCCACCAGCAGTTTAAAAGATTTCAGAAAATACACAACTTTCCTGGAATTAGGCAAAAAAAATCAGCATTTTCTTCTCCATTTTACAAGCAGGGAAGCACCGGAGCGCTCGGTCTCCTTTGCCCTGTTGCCGTACCTCATTTCTGCTCCTAAATTTCAGATTTCTGTTTCTTTCCTGCTCAGCGTCGACCTCTTCTCCTCTTTGCAACAAGCTGGACTGTGATGCATAAACCAGATCATTAATTTTACATTTTGGAAGATTTTAGGACTCCGATTTTGTTCATATTTCGCTCTATCAGGTGAAACCAGTAAATAAACCAAAACTTCTTCACACGTCTAAATTTAAGAGAAAAAGTGTCAGCTGGGAAAGAAATGGAAATAAATTTGGAAGGAGACTGACACGCAATGAAAAGCTTCCGCTTCTGGCAGCCCACACGAGCTGGAGTTATCGGTTCAAGCAACGTGAGGGTGGAACTTCTCCCTGCAAGGAGAGCCGCGGGGTTCAGCCTGGAGGAGGGACGGCTCCGGGGAGACCTCACCGTGGCCTCTCAATGCCAGTGAGAAATTCGGGGACAGACTTTTTAGTAGGGCCTGGGGTGGCAGGAGAAGAGGGAATGGTTTTGAGCTGAAAGAGGGAGGATTCGGACTAGGTAAGGAATAATTTTTTTTACTGTGAGGGTGGTGGGACACTCAGGTTGCCCAGAGCAGTGGGAGATGCCCCATCCCTGGAAATGTTCAAGGTTGGGTTGGACGAGGCTCTGATGTATCTGAAGATGTCCCCACTTGTGGCAGGGGGTTGGACCAGATGGTATTGAAGGTCCCTTCCCACCCAAACCAGTTTGGGATTCTACAAAATCCCGCTTTCCTCTGGATGTCAGCCTTTGGAATCAAGTCTGGCGCTCATCATGCCGCTCCTGCTCCGTCTGCTCTGCCTGCGCAAACACAAGGAGCCTCCGCGGAGCTGGTGCTCATCACACCGCTCCTGCTCCGTCTGCTCCGCCTGCGCAAACACAAGGAGCCTCCGCGGACGGCATCAACCCGGGCTTGGGCAAAGCGTCTGACACTGTCCCACACAACATCCTGCTGGGCAAATGGGAAAAATATGGATTTGATGGACGGATGGAGCACCCGCTGGATGAGGAACTGGCTGGATGGTGGCACTCAGAAAGGTGTGGTCGATGGCTCGATGTCTGAATGGAGACCAGTGACGAGTGG